CATCAGTCTCGAGGTGTGCCCTGACCACTCTGCCACAAATGCAGAAAGGCACCCAGAGACAGGGAAGAGCACATTCTTCTCTCATGACCACATGCATCATTTGAAATACTTGCCCTGTGGATGCCAATTATTGACTTCTTCCCTCAAGAGCAAATCTTATTACCAGTGTGAGAGGACCTGGGACCTGACTCTCAGTCATTTTATTATGCGCCCAATTCCTTCCCTGCTGGGTGAAAGCTCAGTACGTTTTCAGGTGATAGCGCCCAGCAGAGGTCCCCTGAGTGGGAGAGGACGGAGGGGCAGGACCTGCCTGTGCTTGTTTCTGTGGCGTGGCATCATTTACACACCACAGAATTTCAGAGGGAAATAGAAAGCTTTTTATATTTTAGAAACTGCATGCAAATGGATGGACTTTTAACCCATTGTCTCTTTTACATAAAGTAAAAGGATGTGTCATGAAAAAGAAGAGATAATGCAAATGTCTAAATTACCTTTAAAATACAATTCTAAACCTGATGAGCAGGAAGCCCTTCAGCCTGGATGAAACCAACAAAACTGACACTACCAAACTGAGAGAGTAGGCCAGCCCTGCAGGTCAGCCCGCCCTGTGTGTGCCTGAGGAAGACCCAGGGGCTTCTGAGGTCCCCCACTGCGAGAAGCAGGGAGCGAAAGGATCTCAAACCAGGTTTCAGGGGAGAAGCCCCTGGGGGCCTCAAAAACTACCCCTGCCCACATAACCTCATTCAATTGACCTGGCCTAGTAGCACGGGTATTCTCGGGAGGTGGCAGAAGTGGTAAACATTTATGAGAAAGTGCTTCTGAAAAAACAGAAACAAACTCATAGAACAAACTGATGATTGCAAGATGCCAGAGAGGAGGAGAGGGCTGGGTGAAAAAAGCACAGGGATTGAGAAGTACAAATGGGTAGTTGCAGAGTAGTCACAGGGATGTAAAGTACGGCACGGGGAGTATAGTCAGTAAGAGTGTAATAACTAGGCACGGTGCCAGGTGTGCACTAGACTTACGGGGCTCACTCTGTACGTTATATGAATGTCTAACCATTCTGCTGTAAATCTGACACTAATATAATATTGAATGTCAATTGTAATTAATTTTTTTAAATTAAAAAATAAAAGCATATTCAGAAAAAAATCTTAGCTCCACCACTAAAAAAGAAAAACTGTTATATATTAACCTATATGGTAGTATGCACAAGTCTTAAGCACTCACTCACCTTACTGAGTTCTATAAATGAATACCTCTACCCACAACCCCCCATCAAGTTACAGACCATCATCATCCCCCAGAAGCCTCAGCATAGGATTCTTAAACTTAAATCCTATTATTTTGAAAAAATTAAAACTCTTCACATTGAAATCATTATGGGTATTTTTATAACCCCCTCCCCTGTTGTCCCCCCTCCCCCTGCTGATTCTAATACACATGCAGGATTGAGTGCAATAATTTGCTGTTTCTGCCACATTTCTGCCATAGACAGCCTTCAATAAAGCATGGGCATAAGGGTTCAATATTCTGTTACTGATTTCTTAACCAGGTCATTACTCCTCAAGGTCCCTTCAATATAGAAATTAATGGCAGCCTCAGACACATTTAATTTTGTCATGTTGTGATTGTTTTTATGACTTTTCACGCATTGTTTATGATCCACAAGCCCCCCTCTTTCCAGTGATATACAAGGAGGGCCCAAAAATGTTATTTATAAAAATTTATGTATTCTTACATGTTTAAACTTCAGTACCATCAAAGTACTCTCCATCTGATCCAATACACCTATCAAGACATTTTTTCCACTGCTCAAAACAGTTTTTGAACTTGTCGATTTTGATGCGTTTTAGTGCTTCTGTCAGTTCTTGTTTCACCTCTTCTACATTGGGAAAATGTTTCCCTTTGAGGACTTTTCTCATGCGGGGAAACAAAGAAAAGTTGCTTGGAGGGTGAAATCAGCTGAATAGAGGGAGTAGGGCACTGGGATCATGCTATTTTTGGTCAAAAACTGCCTAACACCCAGTGAGGTGTGGGCAGGTGCACTTGTAAGTCACCCATCATGAAATGTGCAAACACCTTGAAAGTCTTCCCAAAAAAATCCACTGAAGCTGAATGCAGCCTCTCACAACAACGCCAGTTGGTACACTGATGCAGAGGGGTTCCTAGAACACTTACCTAGTGGGGAAGCCTGCAAGGGGTCCACCCACCAGAAGATAATTCCGGGGTTTTTTGGGGTCCCCACTCATATAGCTTAGACCTTTTTGCTCTATACAAGACAATCTTACATGTGCTTGGGAAAAATAAAGGTGGAGATCATGCTAAATTGCTAATTTGTGGGTCAGCCATTGACTGAGAGTTGGAAAGGCCAGAGACAAACTCTAGACACCCCACAGTTTAGGGGCAGGGATGTGTAAATCGCAGGAGCCTGAGGAATAAGCCCTAATGAGGGAAAACAGAAACAGGAACCACCCCCCCCCCCAAGAGCAACCTTGCCCAAGCCTGGTAGAAATACGTAGACAGCAGAAACCAATCTGAGTTGCAATTTAGGGAGACCAGCAGCAGAAACTCTGAGATATGATGGGAGGGGAGGACAAGGGAGGCAACAGCCATAAACCCAGGAGCCAAGTTGCTCTGGGGAATAAGTGTGGCCCGAGTCCCAGAGCTGTGCTGTCATCAGGCAGAGACACAGAATGAGGCTGGCCTCAGGAGGAGTCCCGCTCCTTGTGGGGCTATTATCTGGCAGAGACAGCCAATGGGGCTGCACCTGTGTCCACCTGAATGACACGCCTTACTCTAATTTGCACAGAGGGCACGTGTGCACTAGCAGCGGCTCTGGAAGCAATGCTGGGTGCAGCTGGACTCTGCTCAGGCTCTGAATCTCCCTTCTGGTTCCCTGTATGTAATTCCTAAGAAGAAATTCCTTACATGACAGTGAAGTGGCTTTTCTGTTCTCAACAGACAACTAAGAGGGGTGGGAGTTAGATGCAGCCCTTCAGAAGAATGTTCTGCACGTGGCTGAGGCCCTCAGGTCCTAGATGAAGGTGGAGAAACTCCTTGAATTCCTCAGGTAGTGGCAGGAGACGAGCTTCATGATTATGAGAATAACTGCCTGGATGAGGGCATCTCCAGCCCGGAAGTGAAAAGTCTAACAGAGGAAAGCCCATCACTTGAGCTTGCTACCCCATGCTCAAATATTTGGCAGAGATAAGTTCCATTCTGGCCAAGTAACAAATTCCTTATGTATTGTTTTTGATGTTGATAAATGCAATTTTGGTTTGCATGTAACATTCTAGACATATTAAAAGAAAGAGTACGACAACATGAATTTTGTAACTCAGTACAGCAAACAAATGGCACTGTATCTGAATACTAACCTCTGTCTCGTCTTTGATTTTAGCAAGGAATTGAATTCACTTAAGGTGGTTCCCTTATAGGACTATGCTTTATAATAAAAAATTCTTTTGTTAAAAAAAGGCACAAAAATAGAAAATGAGCAAAAAGTGGATTTTTGAAATTTAAGTTCAGATTGATTAGATTTTAGACAGAATAATGAGTGAGTTTTTGAGTTACATGTCGTTTCAGTTTATGTGGTACACAAAGAACCTATGCAACCCAATGTTCATAGCAGCACAATTTATAATAGCCAAGTGCTGGAAGCAACCTAGATGCCCATCAGCAAATGAATGGATCAAAAAAACTATGGTACATTTACACAGTGGAATACTATGCAGCAGAAAGAAAGAAGGAGCTCCTACCCTTCGAGACAACATGGATGGATCTGGAGAGCATTATGCTAGGTGAAATAAGCCAGGCAGTGAAAGACAAATACCATATGATCTCACCTATAAGTGGAACCTAATCAATAAAACAAACAAGCAAGCAAAATATAACCAGAGACATTGGAATAAAGAACAAACTGGCAGTAACCAGAGGCGAGAGGCAGGGGGACAACAAAGGAAAGAAGGGGAAGGGTCATCAAGGGACATGTATAAAGGGCCCATGGACAAAGCCAAAGGGGAGAAGGATTAAGGGTGGGAGGTTGGGGGAGGGGGTGGGTGGAAGTGATGGTAGGAAAATGGAGACAACTGTACTTGAACAACAATAAAAAAAAGATCAGATGCCATAAAGCACCAAAGGGGTGAAGAAAATAGGGCTCATTGTCCATCACCTACTTTTGTAAATAAAGTTTTATTGGAATACACACATAATTTATACATATTTGGCAAATTTCAGCCTGTCTGCATACACACACATACCTACACAAATATAACCAGAACACTTCCCTTCCCCTTTCCTCATATATTAAATTTGACTCCTGGATTTAGTTAACTTCTCCCTAAATTTCACTGCTTATGGGTGAAGCAATGGGGAGCCTGTGGCTTCCAGGTGGGAGAGTGCTGCTTGAAATGTGGAACCTCCAAGTATTCTGAGTGGCGGGGGCAGTAAGCATGGTTCTTAGGAGGAACTGAGCAGGGGATCTGCAGAGTGAGGACAGTAGAGTCACCTCTAAGTTCTGCAAATTGATGACCCATGACAAGACATGGTTCTTCCTGCTGCCACCCCACTTCTGAGGTGTCAAGAGAGGTAGGCTGGCACAGGCTGAGCTTTGGACTGGGCCAAGTAGGAGCAATAAAGGCTCTCATATGTCTACTGTGTATGTGTGACAGTCCCCCAATAACTGTAAGTCATGTTGCCTTAATGCTAATTACAGTCTGTATCCTCTCACATCCACTTAGGCAGGGACCCCAGAGTTGAGAGCACATAAGAAACAAATGAAAGCGATGTCTCTGAAAATAACAAAATGCGACAGTGTTCCTAAACAACCTGAGCAACCACGGGCACCATCTTACCTTAAACAGATCTCTGTGTGAGGGGGAATCCTAGACATTACAAAAGGGAAAATGATGATGACAGCGTTGCTCTCAAACCAGCACACACGGGAGAGAAAAGGGGTGGGAATGGAGGCTGATTTAAAATGTGGGGACCACTCCTACCGTAATGCGGGATGATGGCCCAGGCCATGGCAGAGGCGTAGATGCCGCCGATCATCCAGAACATGCAGAGCCAGCTCAGGTGCTCACCCCGCTTCTCTCGGGCCAGCACCTCAGCAAAGTAGGAGAACACGATGGGAATGGCACCTCCAATCCTGCCAAGAGGGACAGAGAAGACGTGAAATCAGGGCCTGCACAATCATGCGAGATACAAAGGGCAGAATGAAAGCTAGCTCTGAACACATGCTCTATCTCTATCCCAGCATATCGAACAGAGTATATTTTCTATTATTTTATAACTTTAATATTATACTCTCCATCTATAATATAGGTTTATCATTCCTCTAATACCTTGAACCTGCAATGAAGCTAGGTTGCTAAAGGGTGGCAGAAGTGTCCTGCTCATGGCTCACAGACCTTCGCTTAGGACTCCAATGGGTTTCCAGCTCAGTGGCGAATGGTCTACATATTTGTGAAAAATTACAATATTTGGTATGATATGTCCCACCCACAATGTAGTGACTTTGGAAATAGCTTCAAGCACTTGTGGGAGGCCATCTCCAGCTGTGCTCACTCACTGCTATGCTATAGCAGTGACTCCCAGCCCAGCTGATGTGCTGACAAACAGGGTTGTTTCCTGGGATGACTCTGGTCCCAGTCCAGTAGATTCACTGCAGAATGAGTCCATGTGCAAGGGACCCTCACAGAACCATATAAGGAGCTACTGGTTGAGACATCAACAGAATGAGGTTCAGTGCTTCTTTCCAGTCAGGTAATTACAGGAATGCTGACTGAGTTCTGGAGGGAAGATATGATCAGTCACTTCTACTCAGGTTAAGGGCTCTCTAAAATATTGAATAAAAATTCAATATTTTTGAATTCAATGAATAAAAATTCATTGAATAACATTGAAAACAAATTCAATGAATAAAAATTTTGTTCATTCCTAGAGGATGAGCCATAGATCTCATCAGAAGTTCAAATAGGTCTTGACCCCCAAATTTTAATAACCAGTACCTGACAAACTAAAGTAGTATGAGAAAACATTATTTTCTCTCATTCCAAAACATATATGAAATCTTAATATTTTTGAATATGTGACCAATGTAAGCAAGTTGAAGAGACAATACCCTAGTCATATAGTTTTAAAAATAAGTGCTGATTCCTTTATTTTCAGATTTTTGCAAGGTGAGTTGATATTGACATTTCATGTAAATTTGATGTTGAGGAATAAAATATGTGTTTTTCCATTTAACAATAACCAAATGGATTTCTTTAGAGCCCTTGCTATGATAAAGATGTGTGGGCTGTGACCTTAGCAAATGCAATTTGGAGAAAGGCCATGTCTGCGGGAAACTGTGCACCAGATGAACTGCAGGATTCACAATGCCGCCCTGCCTCAGCTGGTAGGTCAGACTACCGCCACTGTTCACAGGTGTTTCCTGCTTAAACACCTGCACAGCTGGACAGGGGCAGACAACTTAGACCAATGGTTTTCAATTAATTTGAAAAATATTAATTGAAATTAATTTAGTAGCTATAAGCAGCATTTTAAAAATTAAATAAAGATATGCGAGTACCACTCAGATAATAAGGATATGTATCATTTCATAAAACTTTTGTCTCCATTATAAACATATTTATGTTACAAGTATATTTGTATATGTGTATACATATATATAAAATATATAATGAATCCCAATGTGTTTCTAAATGAGAGCTGCTGTTCTAAGAGTTTAAAAATCACTAACTTAGACTTCCAGTCAAGATGGAGGCATAGGTAGACACACCTCACCTCTTTGCACAACCATAAGAAGGATCACAACTAACCTCAAAACAAAAAACACCCAGAACTGCCAGAAAATCAAACTGTATGCAAGTCTGACAACCAAGGATTTAAAAAAAGCCACATCTATCCAGACAAGTAGGATGGGTAGAGACAGGGAGTCAGGGTAGAGAGGACATGGTGTAGCAGCAGTGAGGCAGATATGGTGAGACAGCAATGGCAGCTGCCAGCAGAATGCTTCCACCTTGGCTGGAACTCAAGAGAGGATCTTCAAAGCAGCAAGAGAAAAGCAGAAAGTTACCTACAAAGGAGTTCCCAAAAGACTCTCAGCTGATTTCTCAAAAGGAACTTTGCAGGCAAGAAGTATCCAAAATGATGACAAACAAGGACGTACAACCAAGATTATTCTATCCACCAAAGCTATCATTTAGAATGAAAGGGCAGATAAAGTGCTTCCCAGATAAGGTAAAGCTAAAGGAGTTCTCATCACCAAGACCTTATTATATGAAATATTAAATGTACTTATTTAAGAAAAGAAGATCAAAACTATAAACATGAAATGACAAAAACTCACAACTATCAATTACTGAATCTAAAAATCAAAAACAAACTAAGTGAACAACTAGAACAGGAACAGATTCACAGAAATGGAGATCATCTGGAGGGTGATCAGCAGGGAGCGGGAAGGGGGAGAATGGGGGAAAAGGCACAGGGAATAAGAAACATAACTGATAGGTACAAAATAGACAGGAGGTGTTAAAAATAGTACAGGACATGGAAAAGCCAAAGAACTTATATGCATGACTCAGGGACATGATTCAAGAGAGAGGATTGCTGGAGAGAAGAGGGTTACTGGGCATAGAATGGAAAAGGGGGGACAAATTTGGACAACTGTAATAGCATAATCAATAAAGTATACTTTAAAAAATAAAAAAAGTAAAATCACTAATTTAAAGCATCTATATCTGTTCCCTTGGGCGATGAATGTAGCAGCTGTACCTAAAATTTCTAGACAAATGATTCTATGTGACTTCAGATGCAACAAAATTTGATGCTATCACACCAGGGGTAGCCAGCCAGGCCCCAGTCCATCAGCCAGATGCCCCCACAAAAAACAAAGGTATGTGGCACTGTTAGAGCTGGCTCTATGCCACACAACCTCAGGCACGCACAGTCCTCTGGCTGGTTTCTTAAGGACCTCAAACCATGGACAGCCAGTTAAATTAAAAAATTCAACAAAATTTTGAACAGATTTAAAGTGATTTCATGACAACACACAATTTAATGGGAAGTAAAATCTCTGTGTCATAAATCATTTAATGCTTCTTTTTTTTTTTTCACTTGTTGTGAAGCATTCATTTCTCTGCATCATGAAGTCCCAGGTCCCTAATCTGTGGCCTCACTTCTTAATACAAAACAGAATCCCAGCTTTTGTGGGCTTTTCATACCCTAATTAATATTTCACCAGGATTCTAGACACTTCACGTGTGAGAGTGACATCTCACACTTTGGGAAGGCATGGTTGCACATAAGATAGGCCAGGCCTCCCTGCACCGAGATGAATGTGCTCCAGGGCAGCTGAAGTGGCAAGTGGAAGACTGTACACTCACCTGTTGTTTTTAAACAGGTCATTGTTGCATAAAAGAGAATACCAGCTTTTAAGGGCATACAAGCATTCCAGCTGCTTTTGATTCAATGCCTCTTTTTTAAGGGGATTATTTTGCATGGGTGTCTCTCAACGTTTGTAAGACAGATAGCAAGACACTCTAACCTCAGTGGACAAATGACTCTGAAGAATGAGGGAGGGAGTCTATTTAAATCCTTTGCAAAGTTCTTCAGATTCAGAGACCTACAAAACAATCCAAGCATTCACCTTTCTCACTGTGGGCTGACCATCTATTTTGGGGAAAACATTCCTGCTCGTCTTACTGTGATGTCCTTTAAACAAGGAAAAACACATTACAGTGTGCTGCAATGTTAACCATCACTACTATTTCATATCCCATCAGAATGTGTGTACATCGCTGACATCATTGATGTTTACACAGATGATCAGATTCAGGTGGCTAATAAGGAATGTTTCTCAGGATTGGATGTTAAGTGTATCCAGCTGCCAAAAGAGTCAAATCTTAATTACCTTTGGTAATAGCAGGCACAGAGGAAATAATAATTAAAATCCACACTCTATGTAGGTGGATCCAAAATAAATAAATTGACATAAATGAAATAGAACATTTATATTTGAAATTTCAGCATTGGAATTATTTCCTAAGAATATTTATTTTATGTTTGTACAACTTTAATTATAGGAATATAGAGAAACTAAACATATATATATGTATATATATATATATATATATATATATATATATATGTGTGTGTGTGTGTGTGTGTGTGTGTGTGTGTGTGTGTTAAAGCACATCCCTACAGTAAGGTGGAAGCCTTCTTCCACCCTGCTCTGCACGTGTGCATGCCCACAGACGCACATGTACTGTAAAAGGTCTGTATTTGACTCAATACTAGGCATCTGGTGAATATCATGAAACATTTATGTTCCTCAGTGATTTAAGACAAAGTCACGAGTGGGATACTGTGTAAGGCAAAGGATGCATCAGCTTTACAGACAGAATTTCTCCTCTGCTGGGAGAATGAGACACATATGTCAAATCAGTGTTATAGCAGGATGAAGCAAAATGCTGAATGTTACTGTGTGCACAAACCTCGGTAAGAACCTGGGAAGCCTGCCTGTCCTAAGCCTGCAAACTTCACAGCCACAGCTCATGTTACTCCAGTTCAGAAGGCAACTCACTGGTGGGTTATGTTTGCCCTGCACCCCATCACGCTGAATTATGCTGGCTATTGAAATGAGGAGGGCCTCAGGTTTCTGCAGTGAAAGAGGGGAGTTGTAGATAAAAAGAGTAATTGCAATTAAAATGGCTTGACGTGTGATAATTTAGGGGAGAAATTATGGAATGTCTGATGACTTCTTGTCCTGAGGAGGGATTCTCTTGAGTATCTCTGATCTGCTTTCATTCTCCAGTGAGCACGTCCAGAGAATAATTTCCTTCTAACTTATTCCACCACGTGATTGTCATAGTCCTCTACCTGGATCTTGCACTTCACGTTTCCACTGGAAGTGGGGCGCTATGGGAAAACATGATTAAGGAAAAAGTTGAATAACTGCTGTAAAGTCATGTGTTCATATAGATTGTACACAGAGGGTGAAGTCCACCAAGGGCTGGCTCTAGCAGCTTTTATTATGGGGCAAGTATTATGGGTCTGTAAGAAGAATAGTGAGTGGTATAGCTTATGCAAGGGATCACAGTTACAAGTAGTTCTTAAGAATATATTTTTAATCCTTACTCAGAA